TGGGTGTGGATTCTTTCTGCTTTAGGCCCCGTGTGATAATGTCCATAGCGTCTATGTCTTCATTACAATTTCTCTCATTCTCTTTCCCTCTCTGTGTGTTTATGTGGGTGTATGCAAGTTCAATTGTAATATTCAAACAAATATGCCTAAATCAAGGACAGAGCTTGTGATCACTACCCTCTTGCCACTCCCATATACTTTATTTCCAGTCAGAATGTCTTTAAAGGGCTATTGGTTATTATTCCTGGATTATATTGATTATATATTTCTGAAATACAGCTGAAGGGGGGGCAGTGGTGAATGAGCTCCTAGAGGTCATCCAAAAAGAAATTAAGAGCAAACATTTGACTAGTAGCACTTATACTGAGCAGCTTGTGACTGAGGAAAGGGGGAGTCGCCTCTTCCTGCAATGACGGGATAAGGTAGCCCCCTCCAATATGGACCATGGCTGCCCATGAGCACGAGTGATGTCGGAGTACAGGATTGTGGTAGCACACAAGAGACAATGCTGTACAACATCATCCAAAATAGGTTAAAGTTTGGATTGTTACCCCCGCCCCTCCTGAGTTAACACCAAACACAGTAATCTCAGAATCTCCCTCCGTAGTCTAGGATGCCCCTTGCCTAACCTGAAGACATGTAATTGGTGAGCTTTAATTCCATGAAAAGAAGATGGGGGGGGGGCAATCTACAAAGATTGATGTTGTCCCCTTTGGTAAATCCCAACCACTACAAAAGGGTGACTACAGTTGAGAAGCTGGGATTGAAGAACCTGACCAGCAGTTAAAATCTCACAGGGTAATGAACAAAATAAGAAGATCTTCATGTGTATGAAGTCCTGCCTTTGATATCACTGTGGAAGAAGAGTTAGAGTCAACACAGGTGTTTAGCTACACATGAACTGAATCACTGAAAGAAACCCACAGCAGGAAGCAGCTGTTCCAAGCCAAATTGCATGCCAAAAGGAAAGCTGGTGATTCAAATTCAAATGTGACCTTGTCACAAGAGTTAGCATTTTTGCAATGAAATCATCCAAAATGAAGATTTAGAATTATTTCCTTATCAGTGTGTTGCCTGACCTTCCTTTTAGCTGCATTCTGGCTGTTCATGCATGAAGTCAAATATGACTAAAGCCATTAAAACACATTGAGGCTTCCCGGCTCATTAACTTATGGCACAACCCTCCCTCTTGCACTCCCATCAAACCACCACAAAAACTCTCTCCAGCTCACAGGCCAAAAAAGCACCCTTTTGAACAACAAAAAGAATTGACTGGGTTTGATGATAAAATAATACTTACTCAGCATTAGCCAAAAGGGGTGTAATTCCTGGCTTGAGTAACCAGTCCTTTTATATTACAATCCATATTCCTTGTTCAAAAAAAACCACATCCATCTGAGTAAATGATCAATTTATCAAATTTTGTAGATTAGCTATTTGAGAGGATATCAGAGTTATAGAATAGCAGAAGGTCACATTTTATGCGACTTTTCTCAAACCTTTGAAAAACTCGGTGACCTTTCATTGCAGTATTCTTCTTGCTGCCAAGATTTGATCAAACAGTCAAAGGAAGCAAAAATTTCTTCTGGTTTCACAGAGGTGATGTTGTGATTAAGGCTGCAATCTGATACTAAAAACTTGCTTGTGAATGTAGATAAACCCCTGTCCCAAACACAGTCTGGGCAACCAGCCAAAATCTGATTGCTACACAGCTGAGAGCCAGCAGCTAATGAGCAAGACCAGTCACAGAGCAACTTACAGTTCAGTACTTACTTTACTTTAGTAAATACAAGTCTTAAGTCCCAAACAGAGTTCAGCAATGTCCAAGTCAGGTAAATGGTGCCCAGGGTCAGCAAACACAGTTCAGGTCACACACACAGTTCAGGAACGCAACAGGAAGAACGCAACAGATAATCTCCTACAACTCCTGGGGAGCAGGACTGGGAATTTATAGATCAGCAGATCAATGCAACTACTACTTAATTGCTGCTTCCTATAAATCCTATGAGACCCCCTCAAGCCTTCGCTTTGTTGTCTCCACTTGGTTAAGGTAGGTAGGGGTAAATGGTCTTCTCTGAATGGGCAGGGTTGTCTGTCAGAACTGATACTGTGCTCTTGTCTGTCTCTGAGACATGGCTCTGCAACCTCCACCTGCTCTGGTTAAGGTCCACTGCTTCAGTCGCTGAGGCATGAAGCATATGGGTCAAAAGGAGGGTCCAGAGGCTGCTCCAGCTGTGATCGACCTGAGACTGTGGTAATCAAATGGCCCACTCTCAAAGTGAGCCACCACCACAATCCCAAATGAGCCACCAGCAGGAGCAGAGTGCTTTCTGGCCACTTCAGGGGCATGCATAATCTAAACGACATGTCCCTGAAATGGCCAGAAGCTGCTCTATTTGGCCCATCTGTTTCGGGCTCATGTCAGAGCCCATGTCCATGATCTGGAAGCAAGGTATTACATACAACCCTCTTGAACTCAGTGTGATTTACTTCTGAATAGACACACATAAGTTTCTACTTGTATTTAAGTCTGGAGAACCCAAGGAAATCATAGATATTCAGTTATATTTCCTAATAGAAAGGAATGGAGGAAGATACATGTGAAACAAAGTTATTTGGCTGGCAAAATACTGGTAAGCTGAACTTGGTTTTCAAATTTAGGAGCCAGGGCTGACCCTAATGTGGAAGGCAGCAATCACGAATGCCTTTCTAAGCTACAGCAATCCCTTCAAGAGCAAACCACTGACTTCTTTGGAGAGAAAGTGCCCATAAATGCTCACTGTCTCACAGGCATTTGATAATTAATACAACATATTAATTTGTAATATATCCATTTTGCAGCCAAGTGGGATGTAAATAAGCAGAAAATAATGATAATATATGTACTGTATTTTCTGGCGTATTAGACTACTTTTTAAACCACGAAAATCTTCTCCAAAGTTGAGGGTCGTCTTATATGCCG